CTCACTACTTCCTCGGCCTCTCGCATATTAGGTTTCGTTGCCGATTCTGGCCTTCCAGTCTCTCTTTCTCTCTCTTTCTGACTGGGAGTCCCCGATTATTGAACTGAACTCGGTCCAACATATATGGGAAACCAATCCGGCAGGGAGAGAGAGAGGCGTACCAGAGAGTGTGGGATTGAACCTAGTCCGAGAAAGGGCAGAGAATGATTTGAGTATGAAACTGACCCAGTCCGTGAGAGGGAGGAACCCAGCCCAAGAGAGATGGTGGGGGGGAGCCCACGATTGTTGAACTGAACCCAGCCCAATAGATATTGGAAGCCAGTCCAGGGTAGAAAGAGAGGTGAACCAGCGAGTGTGAACTGCATTGAGTCTGATACAGAGAGAGAAGAGTGAGATTGGATGGTAAGGACCTGCAACTGAACTCTGTCTGAGAGATAGTGTCATACGAGAGAGAAAAGGGATCTTGTGAGGGTGGAACTGAACTCAGCCCAAGAAAATACCAAACTAGTGAGTGTGCAACTCAAGCCAGTCTGAGAAAGAGAGGAACCAGTGGGTGTGAAACAGACACTAGCCCAAAAGAGAGACTACTAGAGCCAGTGAGTGTGAATTGTATGCAGTTTGTGAGAGGAGGATGGTGATCCAGAGAGTGTAGAATTGAACCCAGTCTGAGAAAAACAGAAAGGTGAGTACGCTACTGAACCCAGTCCAAGAAAGAGAGGGGAGCCAGTGAGTGTGAAACTGAGGCCAGTCAGAAAGAGAGGAGGAGTTGCAGGTAGACTGGGTGGTGAAGAAGGCACTTGGCACACGTGCTTTCAGTAGGCGTTGGGATGTTATGTTGCGGATGTACGGGACATTGGTTAGGTCACTTTTAGAAAACTGCATCCAATTCTGGTCTCCCTGTTATAGGAAAGGTGTTGTTAAACTTGAAATGGTTCAGAAAAGATTTACAGGGATATTGCCAGGATTAGAGGGTTTGAACGATCGAGAAAGTTGAATAGGCTGGCGCTTTGTTCCCTGGAGCATTTGAAGCTGAGGGATGACCTTCTGGAGGGTTTTTAAATCACAAGGGGCATGGATAAAGTTAATAGTCAAGATTTTTTTCCCAGTGTAGGGGAGTCCAAAACTAGAGGGCTTAGGTTTAAGGTGAGAGGGGCAATCTTTTCACGCAGACAGTGGTGCTTGTATGGAGCAAGCTGCCAGAGAAAGTGATGGAAGCTGGTACAATTACAACATTTAAAGGCATCTGGATGTTACATGAATAGGAAGGGTTTAGAGAGATATGGGCCAAATGCTGGCAAATGGGACTAGATCAGTTTGGGGTATATGGTTGGTATGGACAAGTTGCACTGGAGGGTCAGTTTCTGTACGATATTATTCTATGACTATGACTCTGTAAGAGAGAGGGAGTACCAGCAAGTGTGGGACTGAACCTAATCTGAGAAAGAGAGGGGATGGAGTGTGAGAAACTGAAGCCACTCAAAGAGAGAGAGAGTAGGGGGGAGCCAGTGTTTGTCAAACTGAACCCAATCCCACAGCCATTGGAAATCAGTTCTGGAGAGAGGGGAACCAGTGAGTGCATCCCATGTGAGACAGAGAAAGAGCATAAGGAAATGGGAAGGTGAGAGAGAAACTAGTGGGTGTGAGCTGGAAACAGGCATGACAGAGAGACTTGAACCAGTGAGTGTGAACTGTATCCTTTGTGTGTTTGTGTGTGTCTCTGTGTGTGAGAGAGAGAGAGAGAGACAGGCAAATCAGTGATGTGTGGAAATGATCCCCATGAAAAAGAGAGAGAGAGAGAGGCTGGAAGGCAAGATTCTGCAACTGAAGCGAGTGTCAGGCAGAGAGAGGAGCCAATGAGAGTGAAACTGAACCCAGTCTGAGAGAGGGAGAGGGGAACCAGGGAATGTGGAATTGAACCCAGTCCAAGAAGGAGAAGAAAACGAATGAGTACATTACAAAACACAGTCTGAGAAAGAGGAGAGCCAATGAGTGTGGAAGTGAAGTCAATCAGACAGAGAGAGAGACGCAGGGGGAAGCAGAGACCGTGGAACTGAACCCAGTGCAAGACAGAGAAACTCGAACTACTGCTTTTGAACTGTATCCAGCCAGTGGGAGAGAGAGAGATGTCAGTGTTTGAGGGATTGATGCCCCATCACAGAGAGGAAGAGACTGGAAGGCCAGATTCTGTGATTGAACCCAGTATGAGAGACACCGTGGAGCCAGTGAGTGTGAAATCAAACCCAGTCTGAAAAAGAGAGTGTGGAACTGAACCCAGTTCGAGAGAAAAAGCAGAAACAGTTAGAATGCAACTGAAGCCAGTTTGAGAGAGGAGAAGCAGTAAGTGTATCTGAGCCCATTCTAAGAAGAGAGAGAGAGAGAAACTAATGAATCAGAAACATAACCCAGTCTGACAGAGACTTGAATCAGTGAGTGTGATCCATATCCAGTCTGAGAGAATGAGAGAGAGAGGAATCAGATGAATGTGCAAGTGGTCCCAATCAGAGAATGAGAGAAAGAAAGGAGAACGAGCAAGTGTGGGACCGTACCCAGTCTGGGTTGGGAAGAGGAAGTAGTGAGTGTGAAACTGAACCCAGTGCGAGAGAGATCAAGGAAAGAGGAACTGGAAAGCAAGATTCTGCAACTGAACACATCTGAGAGAAAGCAGTACTAGGGAGTATGAAACTGAACCCAGTTCGAGAGAGAGAAGTGGCAACCAGTGAGTGCATAACTGAATCCAGCCAGAGAGAGAGAAGGAAGCCAATGAGTGTGGAACTGAATCTGTCTGAGAGAGGAAGGGGAACTAATGAGAGTGGAACTGAACCCAGTCTGACAGAGAGAGGTGAACAAGTGAGTGTGAAGTACATCCACCCCTAGAGAGAGGGACTGGAAGATGAGGTTTTGCAACCAAACGCAGTCTGAGAGAAACCAGACTGAGAGAGGAGAAAAGGAGGTACTTGTGAATGTGGAACTGAACCCTGCTCAAAAGAGAGGAGGAATCAAGTGAGTGTGGAACTGACACCAATCCGAGGGAGAGAAAGCAAGGGGAACCAGTCAGTGTGGAACTGAACCCAGTTTGAGAGAGGTACTGGTGAAAGTGAAACTGAAGCCACACAGTGAGAACAAGAGAAGGGACAGAGAACTGGGAACCAGTTGCATGTGAACTGAAGCCAGTCCAAGAAAGAGAGAGAGGGAGATGGACCAGCGAGTGTAAAAAAACTGAGCACAGTCTGAGAGAGAGCACAGTCAGTGTACAACTGAAGCCAGTCAGAGAGAGAGAAAAATTACTGAGTGTGAAACAGATCCCAGTCCGACAGAGAGACTTGAGCCATCGACTGTGAACTGTACCAAGTCAGAGAGAACGAGAGAGGGAAACAGAAAGAGAGAGGAACCAGCGAGTGTGGAACTGAACCTAATCCGAGAGAAAAGGGGCAATCAGTTGGATTGAATTGAACCCAGCCTGATAGAGACCGGGACCAATGACCATGAAACTGAAGTCATTCGGGAAGAGAGAGAGAGAGATACCAGTGACTGTGCGCCGAACCCAGACCGAGAGAGAGTGGAGCCAATGAGTGTGGAACTGAACTCAGTCTGAGACAGAGGGGAACTGATGAGTGTGGTATTGAACCAGTGAGAGAGAGAGGTCGGAACCAGTGAGTATGTACCTGAAGATAGTCGGAGAGATTGGGAGAGGTGGGAACCAGTCTGACAGAGAGGGAGGGCAGCCAGCAAGTGCAGAACTGAACCTACTCCTGGAGACAGAGAGGGGCAGTTGTGAATGTGTGGAACTGAATGCAGCATGAGAGACAGAGAGACTTGAACCACTGAGTCCAAACTGTATCCACTTGGAAAGAATGCAGTCCGAGAGAGGGTAACTAGCGAGTGTGGAACTGAACCCAGCCTGAGACAAACTGGTACGGATAATTTAAAACTGAAACCAATCCGAGAAAGAGGCGAACTAGTAAGTGTGGAACTGAATGCGGTCTGAGAGAGAGAGGAGCCAGTGATTGAGACTGAACCCAGTCTCAGAGAGAGAGAGAGAAGAGAAGAGGGAACCAGTGAATGTGGAAGTGAATCTCACTGTGAGAGACAGAGTTGTGAACCAGTGAGTGTAAACTGCATCCAAGCTGAGACAGAAAGAGGAACCAGTGAGTGTGAGACTGAGCCAAGGCTGAGAGAGTGAGGGGAATGGAATGAGTATGTGTAGAACTGGTCGCAGTCTGAGAGTTAGAGAGGGACACTTGACTGTGTGGAACTGAAACCAGTCGGGGAGAGAGAGAGGAGCCAGCGAGAGTTGACCTGAACCCAAATTGAGAGAGGGAAATGAACCAGAGAGGTTGGAATCGAACCCAGTCTGAGAGAGAGAGAGAGAAAGCGAGGAATCAGTCAGTGTGGAACTCAACCCTGTCAGAGAGAGAGAGAAAAAGACTGGAAGGTGAGATTCTGCAACTGAACCCAATCTGAGAGAAAGAGGGGAACCAGTAAGTGTAGAACTGAATCCGGTCCGAGAGAGTAAAAGTGGGACTCGAGAGTTTGGGACTGAATCCAGTTCAAAAGAAAGAAGTAACCCAGTGACTGTGAACTGCATCCAGTCTGAGAGAGAGGGGTGGGGGTGAACCTGAGAGTGTGGGACTGATCTCAAGTCAGAGAGAGAAAGAAACTGGAATATAAGATTCTGTAAACGAATCCAGCCTGAGGGAGAGCGAGGAACCAGTGACGGTGAAACTGAACTCAGTCCAAGTGAGAGAGAGATAGCGAGGGGATGCATTCAGTCTCACGCTTCCTGGCCCCTCCCTCCCTCTCTCTCTTTCTCTCTCTCTCAGACTGGGTTCAGGTTCGGAAGGTGAGCCCGGGAGAAAGATTTGTTGGTATCCAGCGAGGCAATCTTTTGAGTCTGATTTTGGTCGTGGGTAAAATAACAGTTTTGAGCTTTTGGTACAACAGCTGTGGAAAGAACGTCCTCTGCCTTCGGAGTGACAGCTCTTTGTCAATTCCTTCCACAGGGCACTAGAACGCGAGACTATGGAGAAGGGCAAGTCGGCACAGCCGTCACCGTGCCCCAATGCTGCCAATTGCCAATTGGACTCGGCACGCCCTGTTTTCCCCCGATCCCTGAAAGCTGGCGAGGGTTTTGTGTGCACCGTCTGCGGGAAGCGGTTCAAGACCCTGGTGTGGATGGAGAAGCACCGCGACACGCACACGCGGGGCCGCGTGTTCCAGTGTTCCGACTGCGGCAAGAGTTTCAACCAGCTGCACAGCCTGAGGAACCATTGCAACCTGCACAGCCACGAGAAGCCGTACACGTGCTCTATCTGCGACCGCACCTTCAGCGGCTCTGACAGCCTCATGATGCACAAGTGCGCGGATGCCGGCGAGCAGCCCTACAAGTGCGGGGTCTGCGGCAAGGGCTTCAGCTACCCGTCCAAGCTGGAGACCCACTGGCGCAGCCACACCGGCGAGCGGCCCTTCAGCTGCTCGGTGTGTGGCAAGCGCTTCACCCAGACGTCCAACCTGCTGACCCACCAACGCATCCACTCGGGCGAGCGGCCCTTCACGTGCTCGGTGTGCGGTAAGGGCTTCACCGGTTCGTCCAACCTGCAGATCCACCAGCGCACGCACACCGGCGAGCGGCCTTTCAACTGCACGCTGTGCGGCAAGGAGTTCACCCAGGCTTCCAGCCTGCTCACCCACCAGCGCATCCACACCGGCGAGCGGCCCTTCACCTGCTCCATGTGCGGCAAGGGCTTCACCCGCAGCTCCCACCTGCTCACCCACCAGCGCATCCACACCGGCGAGCGGCCCTTCACATGTGGCGTCTGCGGCAAGGGCTTCACCCGCAGCTCCCACCTGGTCACCCACCGGCGGGTGCACACCGACGCCCGGCCCTTCAAGTGCCCCGACTGCGGCAAGACCTTCAAGGGCTCGGAGGAGCTGGTCAAACACCAGCGGGTGCACACCGACGAGCGGCCCTGCGGCTGCCCGCTGTGCGGCAAGCGCTTTCGTCAGCTTTCCCACCTGCTGACCCACCAGCGGGTGCACACCGGCGAGCGGCCCTTCGCCTGCCCCATCTGCAACAAGGAGTTCACCCAGTCCTCCCACCTGCTGCGACACCAGCGGCTGCACGCCGGTGGGCAGCGGCCCTTCATCTGCTCCGCCTGCGGCAAGGGCTTTGCCCAGTGGCCGGAGCTGCTGGCCCACCAGTGCGCGGTGCCTGGTCAGCCGCAGCCAGCCTCCGAACCCGTGGTGTACGTGCAGTTCCAGGTGTAGGGCGGCCTGTCCCTCCCTCCTACCAACCTCTCTGGTTCACCCCCACCCCACCACCACCACCACCAACCCCGCTGCACCAACCATGTGTCGGGGGAGAGGTGACACTGGGCACCCACTTCCTAACCCCCGGCACGCTGCCTCTCTACGGCACCCAGAGCCTCGTAGCAATGCCACCTCCCGGGGCTTTCTCCAGGGCACAAAGCCAGAAGTGGTGGGGTGGGAGGGCTGTTGGTGGTGGCCCGAGAGTGCCCTCTGCGAGAGGCATTTGGTCGTCTGGGGTGGGCATAGCTGAGCACCAGGGGGCCCAGGCTGGCGGAGGGGCCCGACCAGGCACCCCCCCCTTGTCCTTGTCCCCTCCCCCTGCCATCCGCCCCCCTCCCCGCTACCCACCCGAGGGAAGGCGTAAAGGTGCAGGGGGTGGAAGGAGAGACGGGTGTACGGCAGAGAGGTGGATCGGCAGCAGAGGGAGCTGGAGGGAGGCAAGTAAGTGCGGCCGCCATTGGACAGGGAAGGTGTGGAAGAACTGAAACCTGGGGATTAGGAGGTCAGTCACAATGAGCGATTGCTCTGCAAGAAGTGGGGTTCTTCTGCAGACCCTTCACCAGCTAGTGCCTCTACGGCTAGGCTTAACGTCGACCCCGGAAGGGAAGGGTGGGCCGGGTTGGGGTGGGATGGGTGGCTTGCAGTGCAGAGGTAGAAAGACAGGTGAAGGTGGAGGGGCTGCAGGGAGGAGATACTCTGGAGAGCATTCGGGCGACCTGGTTCCTTCTGTAGTTTTATAGACAAGAGAATCGCCGCAGCTCCAGCTCATACCGGTTCCAGGGTCCATCTTCCTCCACCGCCCCCTCCTGGGCCGTCAACAGGGTCTTTTTTTTCCCCTCCTCCCTCCCTCTCGGCAACAGCCACAACAGGTAAACGAAGCGCTGGTTTCAACGGTTGGAGGAGGAGCAGGTGTTATGTCATTTGGGGGAGGTGGGGGTTTCAATGAATCCCTGCAGGAGCAAGGCACCCTCATCCTTTGGAAGGCTGCAATCTAACCACCCACCACGCCCAGCCCTGCGCCCACGGAGCATGTCCACACACAGCGGGGGTTTCACGTGGCCAGGGGGTTTCATCCCCAACTGGGTGAGGAAGTGACAAAATCTCCGAAAGTGACCCGTGCTCCCCTGAGTTGTCGGGTCAGTTGCCATAGCGAAGTCCCCAGCTCAGGGCTTCAAAACGAGGCCCATGTTTTCTCCCAGCTGATCCCGAAAAACTCTCAAAATGCCCTTCTCCGCCCGCATGATTTGTAAATGGCACCAGACTGTCTACAGGCAAGTGTGGGTGTAAACCAGCCGGACTGTCCCAGGGACAGGGGGAAAGTGGCTGCCGCTCCCCAGAAACAAGTAATTTGAGGGTGAGTGGGATGGAGAAGACAGCGCTGAGGGCGAAGTTGAAGTTTACACAGAGAGACGAAGAGGATGCTAAGGGTGAGACAAAAGTGAACACAATATGTGAGACCGATGGAACTTAGAGGAACCACTGAGAGTTTTGGATCACTAGGTGCCGGACCTCACTTCTGACTCCACTCCCCTGCGAGTGTCCGGCTCCAGAAAGGTGAAGGGAGAGGGGAGAGATGTTGGTGTGTGAAGAATAACCACGCAAGAGGATTTGTGCTGCTGGAGACTGCCTGTGATGGAGGAGAGGAGGTGAACTCCTGGTGGCGGTCCATCCTGAAAAGGTCCTTAACCCACCAACTGGACCGAGAGATGGGCAGAATGCGGCCGCTTTCTCTCAAACACTCCATGAGAAAAACGCCTGTTGAGCAGCCAGGAGGCGTGAGAGAGAGGCCTTTAGGCCGGTATATATTACTGTAGGTGAATAGCTCAGTGGAGCTGAGAAAAGGATAGTTGGCTCCAGTCAGGGAAGCGTTGTAGGTCGTAGTGAACACACTGTGGGCTGTTGTTAGATGTAGGCCTATAAACATCTACTGTGGAAGGAGAGGACAACATACAAACAACCGGTCGACGGGAGATGTCAGTCGTATATCAGTATATTCAGAATACACTTGGGATACAAGTTCTGACATGTTTAGATTAGGGACAAACAAATGCACGGATCAAAGGACACGTGCAAAGAGGAATGGCCTCATCTGGGGACAGTCTGATTTGTGTTCTTAATACCCTGGGGCTGTGAGGAGGGGTTTGGGAGGAGAGAACAAAAGAGGGGAGGCAATGTTTGGGTGAGGTTCCCATGATCTCCTGATGAGAAAAGGCACACTCTAGGTGCCAGCCGGCTACAATCAGGCACTGCTACGTGCCAGGCAAGAATCTCCAACTGGCTTTGTCCCATCAGCTCACCTGACATTTCCTTTCCAGATCTCTCTCTCCCTCTCTCTCTCTGCGGAAATCTGACTAGTTTCCAGTTGTTTGGTATTCAGTGCTGAGAGTTCACTTGATTTGAGCGTTCGTGTACTCTCAATCACTATACTATTTGTAAGTATATAGACGTATAGATTGCTTGTACTTTCTGTCTGTCCAATAAAAACCAACACGTTGATTTATCTTGGACTTTGGAACTTGCACAATGTGGATCAATTTTGCTGAGCAGAGGTTTACAATATGGGTCTTCTGAGGGAGGGCAGAGAGGGTAGACACGAGACAGGATTGTAGCGGAAATAAATACTGTATCACAGATTCGTGGAGTATTTTTGCAGCATGGAGAAAGGCGCTATGGCCTATCGTGTCCATGTCATAGATTTATACGGGAGAGTAAAGCCGTTTGGCTCATCGAGTATGCCACGTAACTACCATTAAAAGTGAGATAACCCCTATTTCCTGCACTTGTCTTATATCCATGTTATGATATTTGAAGTACTCATTTAGATATATTTTAAAGGTTGTAAGGTTACCAGCCTCCACCACTTTCCCATGCAGTGCATTCCAGATTCCCATCACCTGCTGAGTGAAAAAGTTTTTTGCCAAATCCCCTCTGAATCTTCTGCCCCTTACCCTATAACTGTGTCCACTCATGATTGACCAGTCAACCAAGGGGAGCAGCTGCTCTCTATTCACTCTGACCATACCCCTCATATTTGTATACACCTCAATCATGTCCACCCCCCTGTCTTCTCTGCTGTAAAGAAAACAATCCAATATCTGGTGCCAAATATCCACCTATCCTAATCCCCATTTCCCAGCATTTAGCTCCATGGCCTGGTATGTTGTACTGTTTCAAGTGTTCATTTCTCAAGGGTTCCTACTTCTATCAGTTTTTAAAGTAGTGAATTCCAAATACCCACCACTCTGTGGGTGAAAAATGATTTCCACAAATTCCCTTTAATCCTCCTGTTCGTAACCTTTGGTTATTGGTCCCTCTACTGAAGGCTGAGGTTTCTCCCTACGTACCCTGTCTATGCCCCTCAGAACTTTGTACAGCTTCCTCATACTTCTCCTCAGCGTCTCTGCTCGAGGGAAAACGACCCCAGCCTTACCTAGTCTGTTAAAAGCTGAATTGCTCCATCCTAGACAGCATCCTGTTGAATCTCGTCTGCACTTCTCTAGTGCAATAATCTCTTTCCTATAGTGTGGTGACAAGAACAGTGCACAGTACTCCACCTGTGGCCTAACTAACATTGTACACAGCTCCATTGTAACCTCCTTGTTGTTGTATTCAGTGCTTTGACTAATATGGGGAACTGGCCGAAATGACTTCTTAACCACCTTATCTACCTGTCCTGCTGCCTTCAAGGACATATAGGCCAGGTAAAACATCATCCCTGCATCTAGTCTGTCCAACCCTTTCATATTCTTATTTATTTCAAATAGATCCCCTCTTGTTCTTCTAAACTCCAGTGAATACAGGCCCAGTAATACAGTCAGAGAGATGTACAGCACAGAAACAGACCCTTCAGTCCAACTCATCCATACTGACCAGATATCCTAAATTAATCTAGCCCCACGTTTGGCCCATATCCCTTTAAACTTTTCCTATTCATGTTCCCATCCTGATGCCTTTTAAATGTTGTAATTGTACCAGCTTCCGCCACGTCCTCTGGCAGCTCGTTCCATACATGCACCTTCCTCTGTGTGAAAAAGTTACCCCTTAGGTCCCTTTTAAATCTTTCCCCTCTCACCTTAAACCTATGCCGTCCAGTTTTGGACTCCCCAACCCTGGTGAAAAGACCATGGCTATTCACCCTATCCATGTCCCTGATGATTTTATAAACCTCTATAAGGTCACCTCGGCCTCTGATGCTTCAGGGAAAACAGCCCCAGCCTATTCAGCCTCTCCCTGTAGCTTAAAATCTCCAACCTTGGCAACGTATTTGTAAATCTTTTCTGAAATCTTTCAAGTTTCACAACATTTTTTCTATAGCAATCAAACCAATCTTGTCCTGTTATCCCCAAAATCAGCAGAGTGAACATCCACTGCAGTCCCTCCATGACAACGTGTATCCTTTCATAGGTAAGGGTTCCAAAACTGCATGTGATACTCCAGATGTTGTCCTCCCAGGCCCAGCACAGCTGTATTTAAATCTTTTTCCATTGAAAACTAGGAGCCCAAATTGGAAGGAGTAGAATGCACAACCTACATGAGTGATGGCCAGGTCATTGACAGTCAAGAGTCCCATATATTGTGTTGGGGGAGAGATCTTGGACCAACAGCAGGTAAGTCTGGAACCTTTAGTGGTGTAACAGGGAAGAGGTCTTGCTGAAGGAGACATCAGGAACTGAATGAAACAGTAGCATCAGCGGACTCACTGGCAGAGAGTAAACACTGGGAGGATTAATCAATGGTGACAGGATGGCTGTGGGAGGTGTGGGTTAGAAAGCACAAATGGCTGACAAGAAAAGGGCAGGTTTGGCTGGGAAGTCTTACAGGGAGGGGCTAAATCGAAAACTGAGCTTGCAAAAAGAGGGGCAGCTCAGTGGTTAGCATCCCTGTCTCACAGCGCCAGGGACCCAGGTTCAGTTCCACCCTCGGTGACTGTCTGTGTGGAGTTTGCACATTCTCACCCTGTGTTTTGTGTGGGTTTGGTCTTGGTTTCCTCCCACAGTCCAAAGAGATGCAGTCTAGGTGGATTGGCCATACTAAATTGCTTCTAGTTTGCAGGCTAGGTGGGTTAGCCTTGGGAAATGCAGGGCGACAGTAATAGGGTAGGAGGTGGGTCCAGGTGGGATGCTCTTCAGAGAGTTGGTGTGGACTCAATGGGCCAAATGGCCTGTTTCCACACTGTAGGGATTCTATGAGATCAAAATAATTCAAATTTCCTAATAATTTTTTTTTTATTAATTCACAGGATAAGGGCATTGCTGGCTAGGCAGTGTTTATTTCCCATCCCTAATTGCCCAGAGGGCAGTTCAGAGTCAACCACATTGTTGTGGGTCTGGGGTCAGATGTAGGCCAGACCAGATAAGGATGGCAGTTTCCTTCCCTAAAGGCCATTAGTGAACCAAATGGGTTTTTCCTGACAATCGATTCATGGTCAACATTAGATTCTTAATTCTAGATATTTATTGAATTCAAATTCCACCATCTGCCATGGCAGGATTTGAACTTGGGTCCCCAGAACACTATCTGCATCTCTGGACTAACAGTCCAGCAACAATACCTCTAGGCCATCATCTCCCCTGCTATGCAATTTATAGAACTTGCACATTTATATTTCTGTTTTATTTGTAGAGCGATGAGTAATGTGTGAAACGTTGTCAGGGTGAGCCAGATGTATCCAAATTTGAGCTTTCAGTAAACATACATGTATGCATACACAGTTATGCAGGTTTTATATATATCCTATATACATAATATATATACACATATACATGCATATGTATGTGTGTACATATACTTACATTTATATAAGCACGTACACATTTGTTTTTATAGAGATGCATTTATATTGATTCACACATGCATATTTATTTAAATACGTACTCCCATTAATTAAAAATGCACATACATTTTACATCCACACATCTTCATGTATAGTGTATACATACAAGCATATACATTTTATATGTATATACATGTGCACATTTGTGTACATATATATTTATGCTAATATATGCACACATTTCTATACATATTTAAGTACGTGCCCATTAAAACACATGGTGCTGGCATGTACATATTCATGTACACACATATTCATTTATACATGCTGATATACATATGTAAATATCCATACATATTTACACATGCTTATACACAGATTAATATATACACACATTTGTAAAAATGCACATTTATACATGTGTACATAATATACAAACATTTATTTATACATATTCATACACTCAACTTAAACACTAACATTTGATGCATCAGTTGAGCAGAGAGGAGTTTCACTGCACCTCATAGTGAAGACCAGGCTCCAAGATGGCTATTGATGGGAATTGAATATTCCAGTCTCTTGTCAGGGTTTGTTTCCTCAAGAGAGGTGTAACTTGGCCTGGCTGCAGATAGGGCTTGCTGGAAAAGGTATCGCCGTTTGGTCAGCTTTCATAGAGTCATACAGCACGGAAACAGATACTTCGGTCCAACTTCTCCATGCCCAAACTGAAACTAGTTCCATTTGCCCATATCCTTCTAAACTTTTCCTATTCATGTACCTGTCCAAATATCTTTTAAATGTTGTAACTACCTGCATCTACACTTCCACTGGCAGTTCAATCTATAAACACACCAACCTCTGTGTGAAAAGGTTGCCCCTCAGGTCACTTTTAAATCTTTCCCCTCTCACCTTAAACCTATGCTTTCTAGTTTTGAATTCCACTACCCAAAGGAAAAGACCTTTATTATTCACCTTATCTATGCCCATCATGATTGTATAAACCTCTGTAAGGTCATCCCTCAATGTCCTACACTCCAGGAGGGCAAAGTCTCAGCCTCTACCTATAATTCAAACCTTCCAGTCCCAGTAACATCCTTGTAAATTTTTTTGGCAGATTTTTCAATTTAATAACATCGTTAGGGTGACCAGAACTGTACACAGTACTCCAAAAGTGGCTGCACAAATGCCATGACCGCTACAACATGATGTCCTCACTCCTACACTCAATGGTATGAGCAATGAAAGCAAGCCTGCTAAACGCCTTGTTCACCGCCTTGTTCACCACCCTGTCTACCTGTGACACTACTTTCAAGGAACGATGTACCCGAATCCCTCAGCCTGTTTGTTCAACAATTTAAATTAAACTAACTTTAAATCATGTGCTTCTCCTGCCAGATGTGGGAGATCAGGAAGCAGTCTAGTTTCTGACAACTATGTCTGCAGGAATTGTAACTGACAGCGGCTCCTCACAGACTGCATGGTTCAGTTGGAGCAGCAGTTCACAGGATCCCCACGGTATGGGACAGGTCATTTGGCCCAACAAGTCCACGCAGACCTCCTGAAGACCATCCCACCCAGACCAATCCCCTGACCCTATATTTCCAAACGCTAACACACCTAACCTACATATCCCTGAACACCAGGGACAATTTAGCATGGCCAGTCCACGTAGCCTGCACATCTTTGGACTGTGGGAGGAAACCAGAGCACCCGGCGGAAACCCAAGCAGACACGGAGAATGTGCAAACTCCACACAGACAGTTTCCCGAAGCTGGGTCACTGGTGCTGTGAGACAGCAGTGCTAACCATTGAGCCACCGTACTGCCCCGATTTAATACACTGAGGAGCAGGTAGGGGCAGAGAATGTGATAAGACACTAGTTACGGGGATGCGGTCACACTGCCAAGTTCAGTTAGGTAGATGAGTGACTGCCAGGAGAGGCTGGCAAGTATACCATCTTGGATACAGTTGTGGGGATAGTCTCTAAGGGGAATATAACAGCTGCAGCCAGGCCTGTGGCACCACAACTGGCTCTGCTGTAGAACAGGGTCGGGCAACGTTCAATCTAGCGATAGTGATAGGGGATTCGCTAGTTGGGGCACAGACAGGCGTTTCTGTAGCTGTGTTCAAGACTCCAGGATGGTGTTACCTTCCTGGTGCCAGAGTCAAGGACATCTCTGAGCAGTTGCATGAAATTTCTAAGGGGGGGAGGATGAGCAGCCAAAGGTTGTTGTGCACATTGATTAGAAACATTGTAGGTAGAAGGAGGTATAAGGTTCTGCAGAGTCAATACGCAGAAAGTTGGGCAAGAGGCTGTAAAGCAGGACCTCAACAGTAGTAATCACTGGATTATTGCCAGTGTCATGTGCTAGTGAGGCAAGGAATAGGAAGGTAGGACAGATGAATGTTCGGCTAAGGAGCTGCTGCACGGGGCAGGGTTTCAGGTTCTTGAAACATTGGGACCTCGTCTGGTGCAGGGGTGACCTGAGGGACAGATTGCACATGAACTGAAGGGGAACCAGTAACCATGCAGGGAGGTTTGCTAGTGCAACTCGGGAGGGTTTAAACTAGCGTGGCAGCGGGCTTGGAACCAGAGCAGTAGCTCAGCAAATGGAGGGATTGAGGGAAAGTTAGATATTAGGATCAGTCAGTAAGGAAGGACAAGCAGAGACAAGTAAATGAACATGATGGGATTGATGGGCTGGTATGTTTATTTCAATGCAAGGAGTATAATGGGTAAGGCAGATGAGTTTAGAGCTTAGATCATACATGGGACTATGATGTTGTGGCCATTACAGAGACTTGGTTGAGAGAGGGACGGGACTAGCTGCTCAACGTTCCAGGGTTTGGTTGTTTTAGATGAGATGGAGAGAGAGGTAAAAGAGCTGGAAGAGTTGCATTACTAATCAGAGAATGTCACATCTGCACTCAGGCCATACTGGAGGGCTCATCCACTGAGACAATATGGGTAGAGCTCAAAAATAAGGATGGAATCACTCTGATGAGATTATACTAGAGTCCCCCTAACAACCACCAAGATACTGAGGAACAAATATGTACATGGATTATGGAAAAATGCAATAACAACAGTGGGTGACTTTAACTTCCCTAATATTGACTGGGACTTCTTATAACAAAAGGCTTAGACTGAGCAGAATTTATTATTTGCAATCAAGAGGGTTTCTTGAAACAGTATGTGGATAGTCCATCTAAATGAGGGGCCACACTGGACTTTGTATTGGCCAATGAGCCTGGCAGCTGACTGACCTTTCAGTGGGAGAGCATTTTGGAAACAGTGATCACAATTCCTTCAGTTTTAAGATAGCTGTAAATAAGGATAAGTCAAGACCTTGCGGGAAGGTACTAAATTGGGAAAGGGATAATTATGTCAGTATTAGGCAGGAGCTAGGGTGAATTAATCAGGAGCAGCTATTATCAGGCAAGTCCACATTTAATATGTGGGAGTTGTTTAAAGACCTACGATGAGAGTTTAGGACTGACACATTCCAGTAAGGAGGAAGGACAAGGATGGCAAGGTAAGGGACCCTTGGATAATGAGGAAAGGTCGTGAATTTAGTCAAAAGGAAAAAAAGCTGAAATCAGCAGGGCCCATGAGGAATATAAAGAAAACAGGAAAGATCTCAAGCAGGGAATTAGGAGAGCAATGAGGGGCCGTGAAATGACCTTGATAAGAAGGGTGAAAGAGAACCCCAAGGCATTCTATACATACATTAACTAGGGAGAGGGTAGGACTCCAGGATAAAGGAGGGAATTTGTGCTTGGAGGCAGAGGATGTGGGTGAGATCCTAAACGAGTACTTTGCATTGGTATTCA